TATATTATATTATATTATATTATATTATATTATATTATATTATATTATATTATATTATATTATATTATATTATATTATATTATATTATAGTATATTATAGTATATTAATATTATAGTATATTTTATTATATTAATAATATATTATATTATATTATATTATATAATGGCCTTTGTCCATGTCATCATTTATAGCTACGTCTGTCCTACAGCACTCTGTAGAATGGATGATTCTTGTACAGACATGACCTGCCTGTTTCAATGTCCTTCCTTAAAAGGTCTACTGTCTTGAAGGGAAGCTGCTACAAGTATACCTGAAATTGCCAATATACAGGGACATGTAAAATAAGTAATTTCGGTTTAACATTAGACATCACTTACGGTTTACTAAATTTTTTTTCCCCTTGTATTTTTCCTGTATATTACTTTAATGTATATAATGTCATTTATACTTTTTCCTAACTACACTCTATAGTTGTTAATCAGCTAACCACTTGTAAGATGTTTTGAAACCTTTAACTCCTTGCCTAGTACAGATAAGACAGACCTTGGACAGTCTGAAAAAAGCCTCCCTGAGTACATCCCTAATAGCAGGAACCTAAAGAAAACAAGTGCCTAAGAAGATGCCAGTGTCAAGGTAAGTCACTGAAAGCTGATCTAAACTAAGTCCTTGGAACAGACAGGAGCTGAAGGATGGATGAAGTAACTCTATGACCATGCATGGACACAAGAAACCTAAAGTTCACTAACCGACAATGTGAGAAGAGCTATGTGAACCCCTAAGAAGGGGAGGAGACCCTCACTCTATTTTTACTCCACATGCTCAGACTATGTTAATGAATTCTAAGAACCCATTAACATAAGACTGCCTTTTCTAAGAAATCTAATGCATATGAAAGCTTTTTTTGTGTATATTATTCAGAAAGTTTTGTTAGTAAGCGCGGCACTTGAGGTGGAGCGATCCCCAGTGCTGCCCAGCAGTGCAAATAAAGAATACCTGCTTAACAGTTATACTCAATTCTGACTGTTGAGTGAACCTCTTTGTTTCAATCTCTCCTTACACATTAGTTTACTTATTTTTCCTTTTGATTTTGTCTTATTTAGAAAAAAATCTTTTCAGTAGAGGAATCCAAGAAATAATTAAGTCTTTCACATTCTCTTGTGGTCTTGACTGTTGTCTCTCATTTCTCTCTGAGACACCCAACTTAAAACTGAATGAAGAGTTTTACTCTGCGTTTGACAGGTCATTAGGACTTTTAGGTATGTGACTCCTAATTCTGCTCAGTTTGACAGTGTCATCTGCATAAAAACCTTTTAGATTTTCTGTTCTTTGAGATAGGGATCTATTAACATAGTTCCATATTCATGGCATGATGAATTATATTACTATTAAAATTTCTGTCTGTTTACAGTTTGGATTAAACAAATAAAATGAAAATTCAAAAGATCACAAACTTTAATTAATTAATTAATTAAAAATATCTTCATCATTTCAGAAGTTCTTTATACCATGTTTGTACATACTGGTTGTATTACATAGCTATATTTTTTCCTTCAATTTTTAAATTTAATTAAACATTAATTATAAGGTATTTACAGACAACTGGCATAATAAATATATAGGTTAGACTTTATGTTCTGTTTTTAATTCCTCAGTTTACAAACAACAAACAACTTTGCTGTCAGTGTGTTCTGTCTCTGACATGCAATTCTATGCCCTCTGCCATCTTCCATTTTCTCATAGGTTAAGGATTCACCAAAGTTTTCTATCACCTTCTCAGTTATAGGAAGAACACAAAAGTTCTTCAGTCTGAAAACATACAGTGAAATACTCTTCTTTGCGTCCTGATAGTCCCTGCTCTTTTTCTCAGCCGGAAAGCTACTACTTATTTTACAAATCAATCTTCTTACTTGAAGTCTATAGCTGTTTTGGTAAGTGTTTGGTAGTTAAAAATGAGGAGGTGGGTTCAGAGTTCAATAAAGAGCTATGTTTTTTCTTTAGCTGATTGTAAAAGCTTAAAATTGATAGCATTTCTCTTGCAGAAAGCCAGCAAGAATAATAAAATTTGTGTGGAGGCAAATTTTGCTAGTATGAACACTGACTGGTTAACAGGAGAATATGATGGTGTAAAAGAAAAGACTATAGGATATCAATGGTAATAAAAAGCTACAGGAAAAGGGTTTCCACTAAAAGTAAAGATTAACTGGGAATCTGGGTCACTAATTTTTTCCAGTTTAACATGTTCCCTTAAAATGATCTCAATACTTGTTTGTTCTGAGGCTTTGGAAGTCTCAGAAATTTAGTCTAGTGCAGACCTTGGGTATTTTATGACCGCCTTCAGTGGAAAGAAAATTTAATTTTAGTGCATAAGGCTGAGAATAATAGTACATTCCTTTAATATTTTTCTCCCACTCTTCCAATCCTGAGGACTTTTCCAAGGAAAAGTTTTCAGGAGCATTACAGCAAAAGAGGAAAACAACTGTCAAAGTTAAGAAACCCTCTTCATCGGAACCCTAAGATCATTAGCAAGATCTTCATTCACTCAGCTGCCAGGGAGAGCTGAAGGTCTAAGATATGCTGTTTTTCTTTGGGAACTGAAAAAAACCCACAACCCTTCACTAGGGAAAGAGATGAACATAAGATATACAAATATGCATATGTATATATATGAGATGTAAAAAGGAAGAAATATGTTGAAAACAGTCACAAACACATGTACACAATAATCCCCAAATGACATCCTCTGATATATCATCAGGTTGCATCTGCATGAAACAATTATGAATCAGAACCAGAAAGTTTATTGACTCAGTATAATATAAAAAATATTAGAAATGGTGGGAAAAATTATGTTTGGATTACACACTTTGTCTGTACAGCTGCATTTAACAACAAAATTACTTTCCAGCTGTTCAGTACAAAGTAAAACTCATATAAAGTGTATGCATGTGAGCAAGCATGTATGTGTGCTTTGGCAAACATATATCTATGATATGCATATTATAATAAGGGTTTTTAATTCAGCTCATTCAACATTTATACTTCAGTCTTCACAGGTCCAAATTTGTATGGGAGGTTGGGGAACTATACATCCCATGGTGATTAGGTAACAGTGGCAAACATAAACTAGTGATGCCAATATTCATTATGTTATATTTAGGAAAAATAATTTAATAACAAAACCTATTTACTAAATCAATTGCAGGTAAGTTTTTAATTTCCCAGGCTACTGAAAATAAATGGTTCTGCTGTCAATTGTCATATTCACAATAAGCAAGTCTTATCTTCCTCTCCAATTCTAATCCTGTGACACCAGAATCGTGTTTTCTCTATGCGACTGAATCACCTTGAGAGTTCTCACTCTTTTTTTTTTCTTTTGTCTTTTTTTTTTTTTTTTAATTTGTAGATAGGTTTTTAATACATGATTAGGTTTGTGCAGGTTTGTTTATCTCAAGCCTGGGCTAACTACTAAACTTAATTTCTATTTTATGTTTTTGGACTCTATTTTCATACAGAGAAGTATAATTATGCTAATTACCACTTTTGCACTAATATTGATGGAAATTACCTGTTATTCATTTTAAGATAAAAATCTCATAAGTGTTAAGTAACTTTTCAATTAAAAACAAATAGGAAAACAAAAAAGTTTTCTTGATAATAAATACTGTGAATTCAATATAGGTCATGACTCTAGTAAATCCTTTAAAGTAGTATGAGCTCCATAAAGGGAAAGGTTTTCTTGAGGGTTTTGCATCATTAAAGTAAGATAAGTGCATCTATAAAGGATATAGAACTTCATCTAATATATTTATTAAAGAGGACATGTTTCTCTTCTTTTAGATTTGCATTTTTATGCAAATCTATACATAAGCACATGTAACTATATTTAATATAATTTACACTCTATTAGGGATATTCCACATAAATGTGCTTATAACAGATCAAAACTCAGTGATTTTATTTAGGTGAATTAATTTCCTTTGGTCAAAAATTTGAAAGGATTGACAAAAAATGACAGACTCATGTAAAAAAGCTATATTATTTAGCAATTTTGTTTCATACTATGGCTTAATTCAGCTGTTGCTGGTATAAATTCAAATCCTTTCACTGAAGCAGAATTGGCTGTAAATATTTAGATGACTAAGCCTTAGTCACTGATTGTATTTATTTATTGTTCTTCCAATGTTGTCTATAGTTTAAAACATTCTCAGATCTGAAACAATAAAGGATTATATGTAGATAAAGGAATATTAATAAGTAATAGAAATTCTTCATCTAGAATCATTATACATTTGGTTGACACAGCTTTCAGAAAGGCATACTTCAATGTACATTTATGCAGTTTAGGAATTTGTGTCCTTTTAAAAATAGAACAAGGGTTTTCAGAAACCTAAATCTAGGACACCTTCTGTACTTAGGCTTAGATTGATTTAATATATTTATTAAATGCACCTTGTTAACATTTCATTAAAACATCTAAATGAGGGGCATAGTAACTGTAGGCTCGAGGTACAGAGGTGGTGATCTGACTTATAAAATCTTGTAGAGTGATCCATCCTTTTTAATTTTCATGCATGGAATCTAGGCCATCTACACTTCTAATTTGTATGCCAAAAAACCTAACATGCATAAATATTTTGCAGTGTTTCCAGTCTCCTCCTTCCTGACATCAGTAATTACTATTCTTTGAAATAAGTTAACACAAAGGACAGATATGGTGGATCTTGTCAAAACCAACCTGAATAACAAATAGCACTTGGCTTGGGTAATCACAGCTTCCTATTACCTAGAAAAGAATTTTGGGAAGAATAAGTGAACAGAGAATACAGTTAACATTTGTAAGTAATGGTAAAAAATGTATTTGAAATGAAAGTGTTTCAACTTTAAAGGACTTTTCTTATGTGGGAGGCTATTGTCTTTCTGACACACTCTGGTTGTCCCTTTGAGCATCTTATAGCAATTGAATAATTTAAAATTTAATTTATGTAAAATGTAAAGAATTACTTAGTTTATAAAAGGTTTTTATGCTTTCATTGTAAAAATCTGTGAAAATAAAATAAAATCCAATCCGAGTCATTTCATTAGAATTAATTTAAAAGATGGATCAAGTAATTGGAGGCAGAAAAGTTAAGTTTTACACTGGAGATGCCAGGTAACATACTTAACATCAAAGAGCACATACACTCAAATCCATTGATGATATACAGAGAATCTAACAGATTCTTAGCTCAGACTCTTCATTGATGTTCATCAGCCTCTTCATGAGTATTTAAAGAGTTTATTAAGAATACAGTCTTTTAACAAAATAGTTTGGTCTTGCCTTAAGCATTTTTTACCTCTGTACTCAAACTAAAGACTGGCTTGTGTTAAGGATATCTAGTTTTTCAAAAAGAAGGCAACAATTGTTTTGGAATGGTATTGATATACCCCATGTCAGATGCCTGCATGGTACCTAGTTACCTTCTGTTGCTTGAATGTTCAATGAGAGAAAAATGACACTTCTAAAGGATGACTCACCTGATCTATCCTATACATGCATTTTAAAAGGAGATTTCATATCCTATAAAAATAGTTCTTGAAGTAGTTATTTCTCTTGAGAGGTACTCAGAAAACCTGTGCTGAATGGCTCAGAATTAAATGTCTGGGTTTTAGGTGACCCAGTTGGGCATTTGGAATTATTAAATTAACATTCAATTTATTCACACTGAAGTGCTATAACCAGACATCCCATGGCCTTGGGTATTCCAGAAAAGTAGACAAGATAATCCCATTAACGTAAGATAAATACTTAAGTGTTTTTAAAAGTATCAGTTTTACTATAAATTTCAATAGCGTTTATGCAGCATTTAAGTATGGATTTTGTAGAGTTTATGATTTCAGATTCTCTTCAGAAACTCCTATTCAAATCAGAAAGTACTAACTGAGTTCTGAAAACTATACATACTAGTCTGAGAAGCATATTAATATGAATATATAAACTATTAATTTGTAATGTTTATCTGTATTATCTCATATTTTGTGTTAGAAGTGTTAGAAACAGTTTTCCA